AACTCAACCAAATCTTATAGTATGCCATCTAGTAGTGGTTTGTTACCGATTTGAGACTTGTGCAGTACAATACAACGGGTCAACCCTTACACCAAAAGACAAGTCTCTCAAGGAATCGTTGAAGTTAGATACAAAAGATTGCAAAAGAGTTGGCTCGAGCAAACATTTCAATAAGCATCACGGAATTGGTAACAGTGAAATTAACTACCAAGAGTCTCAAACCTGAAATAACATCAATTGTTTAATTGATCACGATTCGTCTGTTGGGTCACTGAACAACATTTATAGTGACCACAAAAATATCCACTCTTATCGATTTTGCCAAACCAGAATATTTGACACTTCGAATTCAATTTAATAGTTGGTCAGGATGAATTCAAAGTGATAACACTGATAGAACACAGAAATCTGAACAAGAGAAGTAAATTGGAGGTAAGAACACCTCTTGGGTGGTCAAAAAGTGGTCCAATGGGACAGAAAGAAGCCTATAATTGCTGAGGGCGATCCCAATTCTATTCTACAGAAGAGCTGTTGGCTCAGAAGGTCAAAAATGGTAATATATATAAAGCTTTGGATCAGTGAAAAATGTTGAATCGTTATCCAAGAATGAAAAACGAGCTGAATGGTTGCTAAATTCTATAAGTTAAATATGGTAGATGAGAAGTTGGAATTCTCTGGTCGGAGGATCAATTCAGTTCTCCATTCAACTATGGAATTGTCTTGAGGCAATTAAGATATCTGCAAAGAAGGCTCTGTAAAGATGCTGAATTGAACACTCTGAAAGGTATCAAGACACAAAGAAAAGCTGATTTCAAAAAGGAAATCCTTGATAAAATATCTCAAAGTTACATATCAAACTCTGATAATGCCAGAATTTTGTAATTACCTCATCCACCAGTCTTTCATCCTCAGAAACTAGGGAAAATCAGAAGAGTTTGTAATGCAGCTTTAAAGTATATAGTGAAATGTGAAATGTTTGAAAGATAAATTACTAGCTGAACGTGATTTGTTGCAGAGACTTGTAGGAACCTTAAAAAAATTTGAAAAAGGAGCAATCGCAATCACAAATGATAGTGAACAGATGTTTTTTCAAGTCAAGGTGAAAAAAAATAATCACTGTCTGACAATTTCATATCCAGAGATCAAAACTAAAAGCGAAAAAGTAGTGATATACACATAAAATGGACATTTATTGGAGCCAGAATTTTACCCTTTTGTGCGAATTTTATACTGACCAAATCATTGAAAAAAAAAAATTACAAGAAACGTCGAATTTCTATATGGTTGATTTCATATATTCAATCAATGATGAATCAAAAACATAAAAAATCTTAAGCAACGAATCGTTAAAACTTTAACAAAAGGGATTTCAAGCTGACGAAGTTTCAAAGTTGCAGAGTTATCAGAAGTCATCAAAGAAAAAGAAATGTAGTTTCTTTGAATCAAATGGAACGTAGAATTGGATAGTTTCGCAGTCTGTATGAAAAATATGCCAACCGAAGGATTCTCACGCAGAGGTTTGCTTAGCGTGGTTTATTCACTATTCGATCTACTAGGACTGTTGATGACCTTCAAAATTCGGATAAATTACGTAATGACGGAACTTCTGGAAATGATGAATGGTACCAAACAACTGCTGAAAATCTGGTTGAGAAGTATGAGTCTCGGAGAAGAGAACTTACACAGATCAAAAACATTCAAATCCCTATAAATTACTTCAGTTTCATTCCAACATAAGTAAATTTAATTCAATTTTATTCCATCCGTTTCATTGGAGATTGATCTCCACATGTTCGCTGGTACCTCAATTGAAGGAATATATGTGGTTGCTTACTTGTGAGCAAGATGACACTCAAAACATATTATTTGCTGTTAAAAAACGAGAGTTGCGCAAAAAATACTAAGAAAGCATGCCAAGTTTTCAGCTGCTAGCAGCAGTGATAGTCACAAGAACTAAAAACAAAATACTAGAAAGACATAAGAACTCTTTGGGCAAGATTCAATGATATCAGTTTCTCGCACAGTACTAGCTTGGTTGTCCCCTGAAAAAAAGTAGCCGATCTTTTGTTGCAAATAGAGTTTGAACGACTCTTGACACCACGACGACCAACACATGGACACATGTTAAAAGAGAAATGATTCTGTTTGATCTGGGTACGAGAAGACTCACATTAACACAAATACATAAGAGTACCTGGTTACACGGGCCAAATTGAATAAAAAATGAAGAGAGGTTGCCTAAAAAATTGATGATCAAAAAGGGTTGAAGTGGAGGGAATAAATGAAGAAACTTTTATTAAGCTTACAATTTTTGAATCATTGGCCAATTGGGCTAGGTTTACTAACTTTAAACGAACTCAAAACAAAATTGCATAGGTATTGAGAACAGTACGGAAAGAGGAATCAAAATTGTTGAGTATAACAGCTGAAGCTAAGCAGCAAGCTGCAAAAACTGTCATCAGTGTGTTCAACGAGAAAGTTTCACAGAGTAGAATTAATCTCATCACAAAACTTGAATGCATACTTGATGCAGAAGTGTTGATGAGAGCAAGAGGCAGATCGATAAGGTCCAAGATTTATCATTTGCGCAAAGTATCCGATTATTTTGTATTCAAAACACCATGCAACTGTCTTTTTGGAGAAAGAACATCTCGAAAGTCATCATTTTCGGATCGAAGAGCTCAGAATCATGCTTCAAGAGACTTACTGAATTTTGCGGAACAAACTTAGAAAAATCATTGCCGAATGTGTTGCCGTTAGAATATCATCGCAGATGAATGAGTCTCCAATGATGGCAGAGTTCGAGATGGATTTCAAAAGACCATTGAAAAACACTAGAGTAGATTACTTTGTTCTCTTCAATGTAAAAAAGAGGAGATTGTCAGACAAAATATGGATATGCCTGATGACTTGTCTCACAACGAGAGCCGTTTATCTTGGAGTTCCTCCTGATTTGTCAAACGAATCAATGTTCAACTGATTGTTTCATCGCTCAAAGAGATAGGCCGGATCTTGTAGTGAACAAAATTGGGACAAATTGTGTTCGAACGAACCATCACTTAGAAGAAAAAATGAACAATGGTCGCCAAAAAATTCAGAATCAATGAAAAAACAATAAATTAAATGGAGGTTTACTCCACCAAATGCGCAAAATTTCGGAGGTGTATGGGAACGATTAGTGAGAAGTAAAAAAAAGGCAAAGTATAATGTAATCGGGACACAAAACTTGACTGAGGACATTGTGACCACAATTGTCTGCCTAGTAGAAGGCATTCTAAACCAAAGATCTCTCGCATCAGTTTTCGATGACATTGATAGTTTTGAAGCGGTTACCCCAAATCGTTTCTTGATTGGAGCATCAGGATCGGAAAAAGTTCGATTATATTGGAAATAATATGAAGGTCATCGGAAAATTTTCAGGGCAGCTCAAAAAAAAATGTTTGTCAAGTGTGACACAGATTTCAGAAAGAATACATACCGATGCATTTGGCAAGAAACAATTTGTTCAAAAATCAGACAAAACAGTTCCAAGAAGACAAATTATAAAAAGGTTTTGCTATAGTCATGATAATCATCTGGAAAACTCTCACTCCTTGAATGCTTACCAAAAAACGGAAATCACTTTCATTGGATTATCTGGGTTAAAGGTTAATTGTTGGAAATATAAGGTTAACTCGCAACATTTGCAGAAATTCCTGCAAATTGTTTTTATGTGTGGTGGAAACGATCCCAAAGGTTATGGCGTTGCTAAGGAATCTGCATCTAACCAACCTCAGTAGCAAAGACTAGAAAACATTATTTTGTTTAGTTTATATTCCATTTACCTAAAAGATAATCTATTGTGTACTTCTCAAGTTGATAAAAAATAATCGATTTTCAATTTTTAACAATCCTGATTGGAAACTCACAACAGTAATAGCAAATTGTCTTCGGCATTAGAAAATGTTCCTAAAAATTTATCTCTATGATAAAAAACCAGGCTACAAAGTCTATTAACAAGTGGTCATACTGAAAAATAGGCCTCTAAATGTGCTATTTTGGTTTGGAGCACACTAGTTGAAACAACTAACAGGTTGCTGAAATGTGTATAACATAAATTTCGAATTTTTTTTCAATTTGAGATAGCTTTCAATTTTTTGAAGCTTTATAATTTTTTGGTATTCAAAAAAGATGACCTTAAATGGCATTCATGTTCACTTTGTACTAAAGAAGTTGATATCTCATCCGAAAAAAAATTACGAAAAATTTTATTTCGATAGTCAGATTTGTTCGGGGTAAAAAACTACCTAGTGAGCGAACCAGCCCAAGCACTATTCAATATTTCAATGACAGTAAAAAAATATACGAGGCATGATAAAATAGTTTGTCAGACTCATTGAGACCGCTCATTTTCAATTTACTGACGACAGAGCTGTTGCAATAAAGTCCACTTTTTATGCACACGTTATTTGATGAGAAGCCGTTTTCTGTACATTAAAACCACCTTTTTATGGTTAACATAACTCTTCAAGCTGTTTTTTTATGGTTTTTGTGACAAATAGAGGTGATTTAAAGCACTCTAGTTTTCAATGGCTGTCACAAAACAGTAAATCATGACAGAAGTGCTTGAGCTCTGCAAAAAACACTGAAACCTGGCGACAGAGCTGTGGCAATTAAGTCCAAATTTTATTTATAGAATCATCAACTTCGGTTTTAAAAAATCGTTTTTGTGGATATTAAAAACTCTTCTCGCTATATGAACAATTATTTAAACTGGCGACAGTCTTTTCAGAGCATTTTGTGACAGAGTTTTCGTAAGTTACTGTGCAGTTTACAATCAAAAACAGCAAAAAATAGACAATTCATGACAACATATTGTAGATCTATATGTTTAGTTTTTGTAATTTGTGACAAACAGTGAACTTTTTATCAGAGGCTTGAAGCAGTGTAGGATGCACAATATCAGGTATATGCATCAAACGCCAAAAAAAGGTAAAAATATTTTCATCTGGCGACAGACATGACAGATTACTAAAGTTATATGCAAAGTAATTTAAATTAAGAGTGGCAGCTATTAAGAACTCGACAATGACACCATATTTAAGCCACAGTTTTCTTCTTGCCAAAAAAATAGAAAAAATTCATTTTTCAGTTTTCTCTTGTTCATACAAGTTGTCTAGTTTTGTTAAGAGAAAAAAAATTAGATTTTGGATGAAATGGGCATTTTAGTTGACCCATTTTTTCTTCTTGTACTTTTTGTTTCTTCAACAAACAGCGAAATATGCAGACCAAAAAATACGGCTCTGATGGAGGAGCCATTCCTCCTCCCAATCGGTCCCAATCACGGCGATTCGTTCAATCGGAAAACACCAACCAGTTGCTCCGAACCCATATCTGTCCCTTTTCCAATCAAGATAGGATCAAAAAGCTATACAACCTTGTATGTATGCAACAACGGTTTGATCACTTTCGGCGATCCAGTGATTTCCTACCAGCCCGCGGACTTTGACAGCATGACTACCCCTGTGATCGCGGCCTTGTTTGAGGATAATTTGAACGGCGACAACTTCCTCGACCAAATGTGTCTCCAAGATGGCGGCGCATACTACACTGAAACCATGTATGAAACTGAAAGGATCTGCTGGTACTACTGGAACTACGAACCAACATCGGCCATCAACTACCTCGGTTTCTCCTACGACTACATAGACGACGCCCGTCTAAAAGCTGAGATCAAGACTTTTGCTGAAAAACCTCTGACCAGGGCCGAACTGACGCTTGGTTTTGACGACTGCATAACAGGGACTTTAATGGGAGAAGATAAAGTCAAGTACATCAATCTGGCCAACAATGTGATGAAACGAGAGATGTCAACAAGTGACATAGAAGTAGTCCAGCAACTCATAAACGACAAGTTCCCCGGACAAATTGTCAAGTGGGGTTTCGTGGCCACATGGTACCAAATCAGTCCCTACCCAGGCCGCCTGGATGCATTCAACAGCTACCAGAACCTTCTGTTTTGTACAGAATCGCCCCCAACCAGGTAAGTGGTCTGTTTTTATATTTTTTCAGTCTCCATGAGAGTTCGTTTTGTATAAAAAAAAATATTATCAAATTCTGAATAGAAAATAAGCAAAAATGTCACAAAACTCTAGTAAAGATTATCAGTCTACAACCAGTACTATTTTAGACATAGTGAGACTTAAAAAAAATCGAACATTAGATCGGAGTTAGAAGCGGAATTAGACTTAAAAAACCTCTTTACAAACTTAGATATAGCAAACTCAAAAAAGAAAAAAGATCAAAAATAAATGAGAAAAAGTTAGATAGCATAGACAGCTTAATAAGTATGTCTCTACGTCTCAATACGTCGCATATATTACTACAAACGCTACAGCCTAACAGACCAAGTTTCTATATCGTGAAACGACACAAACTGCAACGAGTATTTTTCTTCAAACTTCTCAATGCAGTAGATTTTCATTCTGTAACATGAAAAAAAAATTAATTGGAGCACTAAGGTTCATTTCCAAGCCATATTTTTCTTAAAGTTGTATAATCATGATAACGACTGATAAAATGATCGTTCCTTCCATCACATCTGCAGTACTAAGAAAACTTTTGTAAATTTAAATCTTATTGAATACAAAATACAAAAATAAGTTACCAATATTCAAATTGCTAGATGCAGCTAAAATATATTGTTACTGCGAACCCTTACATTTGAATGCCAAACTAAATAACAAAAACAACTCAACAACAACATCCACTGAAACATCTCACTCAGGGTTTGATAAACAAAACAGGATCACAAATGAAACTTTTTTGTACAAACGTCCAAAACAAAACCTCATTTCAAATTTTGACAACAATCGTAATCAAAATGAAAACCATAGCAACCTAGAAATGAACACTTTAGTTTCGAAAGTTAAACAAACTGGAAGATGAGCAAACAACAGAAAAATTGAATCAAATCAACAACAACGCTAAGCCAACTCCAAGAAAAATCATTAACAACAACAAACCAAAATAAATCATTTTAATTGGAGTATGACAATATACCCAGCTAAGCACAACAAAACCAAACTGAAAACAAAGTGCCAAGAATGCGAAAAAACTGACCGAGAACTACCAAAGCTTTATATTAGAAATGTATCTCCCGTACCAGAACGAGGTAGACCTCAACGTCAACAAAATCAAAGTCAACACAATCAGTATCAACAAACTGACCGAGAACTACCAAAGTTTTACATTAGAAATGTATCTCCCGTACCAAAACGGGGTAGACCTCAACGTCAACAAAATCAAAGTCAACATCATCAGTATCAAAAAACTGACTGAGAACTACCAAAGCTTTACATTAGAAATGTATCTCCCGTACCAGAACGGGGTAGACCTCAACGTCAACAAAATCAAAATCAACATTATCAGTATCAAAAAACTGACCGAGAACTACCAAAACTTTACATTAGAAATGTATCTCCCGTACCAGAACGGGGTAGACCTCAACGTCAACAAAATCAAAGTCAACATCATCAGTATCAAAAAACTGACTGAGAACTACCAAAGCTTTACATTAGAAATGTATCTCCCGTACCAGAACGGGTAGAGCTCAACGTCAACAAAATCAAAGTCAACATCATCAGTATCAAAAAACTGACCGAGAACTACCAAAGCTTTACATTAGAAATGTATCTCCCGTACCAGAACGGGTAGACCTCAACGTCAACAAAATCAAAGTCAACATCATCAGTATCAAAAAACTGACCGAGAACTACCAAAGCTTTACATTAGAAATGTATCTCCCGTACCAGAACGGGGTAGACCTCAACGTCAACAAAATCAAAGCCAACATCGTCGGTATCAAAAACCACAACGCTCTACCTCAATCATCATAGAAAAATCAGAAGTCAGCCCTATGCTGACTATCTAGAAATAAAACATGAGGTAAGTAGATAACAACTTACCAATTTCACGAAAAAAATTATTATGTTGAATGCGTGAACGCAAAGTTTTTGTAGGCGGTGATTTACACTGCGCCCAGAAATACTCCAAATTTAATAGAGGCCAGCTAAATGTCTCAAATTATAATCTTTACTACCTTACTACGCAAAAAGTCGAAATTTTCAAAACTTATAGGTCATCCAATGTGTCTTCAAAAAGATATTGGAGACCAAAAATGTTTCAAGGGGAAGTAGGAACATTCGGGGCTTTGTTCTGATACGAGCAGTTTTGTTTGTTTTCAAATTACTCTTTTATTATGAACTAATTTAAATTTCATGTTTCAGTGATCCAGGTTCTTTTGATTTGTGCTATGTGCTCTTCGACTTTTTCGAGATTCAGTGGCTGTACACTAAATGGGAACGAGTCATGGCCGGAAGAGTTGGAATCAACGACGGCGAAGGTACGATTCCGCTGAATACAACTGTTGAAGATTTCACTAAACTGACTCGACTAAAGTCGAACGCTTTGGCTCACGGCGCTTTCCGACAAAATTTACGCCCAGTTAAACTCCTAATGGATTATGCTTTTCAAGCCGGCCTATTCACAACAGTTCGCAAATACAAGCTGAAAGTTTAGCAGAAATAGTTGATTTTCATTGATATTTAGATCAAGGTTAAATCACTTAAATGTAAGAGGGAGGGGAGGGAAGCGCACCCCGTACTGAATTATCATGGATAATAATCTATTAAATTGGATTTTCATTGTCAGCCTCTATAAAATACCAAAAATAATCTATTATAATCGATTGAAAATGGATTATAATGATACTATTTTTTAAGCAATAAAATCCCAATATAATCGATTTTAATCGATTATTTTCAACTTACTTTCAAAAAATTTTATCAAAAGAAAAGTTATCAACTTTAATCGAATACAATGGATTATAATCCATTTATTTAAATCTTTCTGTGTGTTGTTTCCATTTTCATAACATTGTTAAACCTAAGCTAGTTATTTTCTCGCCACTTTTTATTCTTCATTTTTTCCTATTTTCAATCGCGTTTATGAAAATTTACAAAAAGTTACCTATAGATCTTACACCTATAGTGATAGGGATGTTTATAGGGGGTTCGGTTTATTGGGGGTTCTCGGGGCATAGGGGGATGGACGTGTGGGTGGCATAGGGGGTGACGGTGGGCGGCATAGGGGTCGCACGTCTTGGGTATATGGGTACGCACATGAAGCGGGGTTGGGAAGTAGCAGGGGCATGATGGGGGTAGTGAGTAGTGGGAGATGGGAGGGGGACTTGAAATTTTTTGGAACAAAAAAATGGTCAGAAAAGCCGTGTTTTGGCACTTTTTGAAAAGTTACTAGAAACTGGTCTTTTCAAATTTCTTATATTTTGGCCGCCTCTGGGTGAACATGTTCGTTCGAGTTCTGCAAAAAATTGCAAAAAAAAGAGTAATTAGCTACAAAATTTAATCCATTTTCTTGGATTTTATGTACAAAAAAATCCATTTTATTAAAAACAAAAATGGATTAAAACCGATTATAATGGATTTTAATGAATTTTTATTGATCGAAAAAAACGTTTAAAATGGATTAAAATCTATTATGTTGTCTAAATTTGCCATGATAATCGATTATATAGACATGTTTTTTGTCCACAAACATGCATTAAATCAATTTTGATCCTTAAAGCTTCGGTGCGGGACGCCACCTTCTCAGGGTTTCTGCCCCATCAACGCCCTTAAGGTAATGATGGACCTTAAGTTCTTAAAATACCTTTAAAGGCGCCAATACATAGATTTTTAAAAGGGAGAAACCCAACCACAAAAAAAACACAATTTTGACTATCATCGTTTTGAGATTTTCTATGTTCAAAAATTCGCCTACGGTCTATGTTCAAAAATTCGCCTGCAAAAAACTGAAGCCTTATATTGTGTGTTTTTTGAAAGCTCTTTTACGAAAAACAGAAGTCTTATAGTGTTTTTGGGAGCTCGGCAAAAAAACCACACATTTTCACCATTCAAAAAAATCTGACTCCTCTTGAAAAAATCTTCTGTCTCCAAATTATGAGAAACTTACGAAAGCCAACTGTTCGGCTCCAAGCTTAAATTTTCTACTTCGGTGCATCAATTTTTTCTCTGCCAAACAAAGGGGAATCCAAAAACTAACTTTAGGCAGGGCGAAAGAACAAGTCAAAACAAGGACCTATTTATAAAAAAAACTAATAGAAATAATAACAAGGATAGTCGGTTGTTGTGCAAGAAGCACAAGATTTTCCGATCATATTCATGAAAAACTTTCTAAAAAAGTTTTAGTGTAGTTTTTAGTGCGTGCTGTGATTTTACAGCTACAAAAACGCGTATTAACTTAAAAAGTGAATTAGACATTATCGACAATATTTGACATCCAAAAGGAATGACAAAAAAATTACAAAAAACCAAAATGATTTTAAAGTTTGTTTCTACATTTCCACAATAATTTTAAATATTTTTTAGAGAAATTTTGTAGCCATCGAAGCAATCAATTCAACATCAAAAATTTAATTTTCTTTAGGTTGTTTTGAAACATAAAATTTTTTGAAACCTAAAAAAGCGTAAAGAAAACAAGTTTTCGTAGAGCGATCGTTACTCGTTACTTTTACTCGCTCGAAATTGAACTAACAATCTAAAAATTTACTCCAAACTTATCTCAACACGGAGACAATTTTTGAATTTTTTATTATTGTTCAAATTACGGCTAAAAGGGCTTCAACTTGGTATATCTCTCGACCCACTCCAATAAATATTTATTCTACGTGTAGAAAACTAAAACACACCCGAAGTCGAAAATCTTTCCCCTTTTTCAATGGTTGAAAATTAAAATGATTATCAACTTGCAATAGATATTTTATTTAATTTTCCTATTTTCGGAGTATGGTTTTCTTCTTTTGGAAAGATCAATGTGTCAAAAAATAATGTATATATAAAAAAAAATGCTCGTCAATGTTAGAAGCAAAATTGTGTCTTTTGAGTTTTTTCTTACAATGCGTCGATATCATAGTGTTATACTTGAAAAAGCTCAAGCTTAAGTTTCGCAGGAATTATATTCGACAAATGTTTTAATTTTCTTTTGAGCAGCTACTACGAATGATTGAATTGTAAAAGGATAGTCGGGTAGCTCGGTATAAGCTTACACCCCCTGAACAAGACCTCTTTGAACATTGCAAATCAATTCAAATTAAATCAGCTTGTCATGAAACTTAAGCTGAGGACTTTTTTCGGTTCCAAGAAATTTTAAACACAGGAAATGACAAAAAAGACAGCTAATCTTATCTCAATTTGGAGGATTTATCATTTACATAAGTCTTTCCAAAAATCCACATTTTTTAGTTGATTATATTCATTTTAGTCAAAAAAAACTTTATCGTGAATTTTTTAATGGCATAGTTGATTTCACCCGAACATTTATGTAAATTGTTAAGTATCTTGTATAAATTTTGTTCCAAAACAACCGGAAATAGGGTAGGAAGTCAATTTTGCAGTACCAGCTGCAACAAAACTTACCATTCAGCGGGTATTTGCTTTGGCGTTATCATTTTGGCTTTGATATACATGCGTTGGTTTAGGGTGGTTTGATTCAACACGAAATTTGAGTTTTTGGTAACATTTTTAGTAAACAATTGAATATATGAGAACAACTTTGTTCAATTTAACTGCAAACTTTGCAAACATTAATTTTCTATAGTCTGAAGCATTGGCTCAATGAAGAAACAACTGGAATTTTTTAAGCATTATGCTTTAATCTACACCTTATATATCATGTGTGGGATAGTTGGAGGAAAAATGTCTCTAAATAGTTTATCATTGGTCGATTTCAGTTTTTTGTTCTCATTCCAAAAATTTGATTTTAAAATTTTGTAGGATCAATTGTGGAGCTACCTTACGCTGGATCTTCTCAGCTTAAGAAATTATACCTGTTCTCAAACATCAGGGATCCTGGTCTCTGGCTATACAGTATAAGTCAAGGGAACACTCCAAACCCAGCATCAATCGTATCTCAGGGAAATTTTGACGTGAACGATGTTTTCGGTAACATCGCATGCGAAGGTCCATTGTTGACCCTTGAGGATGCAGCTTGGGCACCTCATAGTAGTCCAGTAGAGTTCAAAATTCAACGATGTACACTGCCTGTACACACCTTTCTGGGTGCCCAGGTGGTAGGTCAGAACAACCTTGAGACTATCGAAACAGACGACATTCGATATAACAAAGACACTTTCGAAATTTTCATGAATATCACCTGGTACTTCCGAGAGCCAGTCGTTGTCATTCTCGTTCTGGACACAGTGCCTATCAATGTTCCAGCTTTGATGAAAATGGTATTTTTCTACGATCCAACAGAAGACCGAAAGAAGATGCTAGAATTTGTTCAAGACAATTCAATTATTTCTGTCACAGATGGAAAGGGCGATGATTTGATCGACAAACCAAATTGCGCGCAAAATGGCATTAAATATAATAAGCCAAATGAACGTGAGTATTTTCAAAATATTGTGTAGATTAAGAGTTGAGGGTCACGGGCGTAGCGACTCGCATGTGTGCCGCATAACATGTTTAATTAAATTAATTACTCAGTTTGATTCGGTACGCATTAGTTTGAGTTTCAGCTGCATAAGTGCAAATTTAAACGCACTTCTGATTGCACTAAAAGCAGCATGCAGAGCGGCAGGTAAGCAAATGAGCTGGTTGGTGAGTCTCTAGACTTATAAAAATTGATTAAAAACTGATCATTGCTTTCAAAAAATAGTTTTAAGTTTTTGGCTACGCATAAAAATAGTTTAATTAGAGTTGATGTTTCATCCGTGATTTTTTGCTTGAGGGTATGAAAGCATTTTCAGTCGAAAAAAAAAACACAAACAAAAGAATGCATGTGGATATAAGCCAAGGTAACACCAGCTATTTAGTTTCCTGTGATTTGCTGATAGCTTCTGGCTTTGACCCCAATTTGATGATGATTAAACATTTCTTACATAATTTGGTTGTTTGCTTTTACAATAGGCCCGGATGATCCAGGTTCTAAGGGACCACCACCAGCTAAAGATATAGCTATACCAGGTGAAGGTCAGTTTCAATATAACATATCCCTAGAAGTCGACGGCGATACGGAAATCATCCGGCTTCACATATGTTGTAAGTTGAAATCATCTTTTATTAAATTCAATCAGACACCAGTGGATCTAGGGGGGAGGTGGGTGCTGGGGGGGGGGGGGGGCATACGCTTTTCTCGGGAATTCGACCCCATGCCGACCCAACCTTTGTACTGTTTTAAACTATCCATTTTTGGCTGACGGACCATAAATTTTTTCTAAGGGCGCCTCAATTAGAGGGTAAAGCGCGTGCCAAAAACTGCAATTATTAGGTCAAATCTTTCCACGAAACGCCTAAGACGCCTTTTTTGGCCTAGTTTTTTGATATTTCGCTTGCGGCGCAAAAAATGTGTTCAAAATAGGGTCTTGATAGTGATTAGTGCGAGCTCGGAAAATCAATTGGGTCGATAAAATTCGAAAAATTTTTAAAAATCCGCCCCCTCAAGAAAATTTTAGATCCACCTATGTAATCAGATATTAAGTTTTAGTGACATCAAAATCTAGATTAAAAAATTTTTTTAGTGATTGAAATTTTAATTAAAAACTAATTAATTGTTAACACCCGGGTTGACAAAAAATGCGTATCATACAATTTTCATTTATGAAAAAAATGCTTATCATACTCTTTCATACAACTTCATAGAAAAAAAGTGTATGTATGAAAATAGCAAAACAAGCATTTTTTCATATATGAAATTGTCTCATAAGCAATTTTTTCATATTATGAATTTGTATGATAAGCATTTTTCCCATAAATGAAAATTCAAAAAAAAAATTTGTTTCGAAATTGCGTGTTTCAACCGAAACACAAAACCAAGGATTTTTTATCATGAGAAAATTCAGAGTCTAACTAGCAGTTACCACGCAGATAAACTGTATTTGGTGGTTTTAGCCATAAAAATTACTTTCAACATTAGTACATGAAAGTATATACCAAAAAAGTAACTTTTTGAATATGGCTAGATAATTTTTAGCTTAAAAATTATGATGGTTGAGAAAAAAGGCCTGTTTTTTTACAAATTTATTTTTGTTTTAGCAAATGAAAATTTAGCAAATGAAATTTCATGTAATTTTTGGATTTTTTGGGTGAGAAACTCATCCTGGACTATGTTCTAAATACAAAAATGTCTAACTTTCCCTTCAAATTTTTCTTCGTTAAATTTATATTTCAGCACAAAGCAAATTTGCAGCCAAATAAGGGATAAAAAAAAATTTTCACCACAAATTTTCATTTTTGTTTATGAAAAAAATGCATATCATACAATTTTCATATATGAAAACTGTTTGATAAGCATTTTTTGACCGAAATTAAAATTATGTTTTTGATTGTCAATATGCCCTCTATCATAGATATACTTATTTAAATCTATTTAAAGTTACCCAGACTTGTTTTTGGTGATTTTTGAAAGTTTTATTTTTTATATGACGAAATGACTATTTTATAATTTTCATACATGAAAATTGTATGATAAGTATTTTTTCCATAGACTTCATATATAAAACTGTATGATAAGCATTTTTTTTCTATGAACGTCAAGCCGGGCACTAAAAACAATTAAATAATTGTGTAACAGTATACTCATAATTATTCTATGTTTTCGGTAACACTTTTTTTGATGCTGAAATATTTTAACAAGAACTCAAATACAAACAAAAATGACTACACAAGGCTTTCTGATATAACTTTTTCATGCCTTTTTAATCGTTATTCTAGCTATAAAAACATTTAAGACAAGGGGTCATATCACGGTCGAACAAGATCTTTTTATAATTCTACTCTTAAAATCTAATATTATACAAAAATTTTGAAACGTAAGAAGACTCGTTACACTTATCATTTCGACAGATATTTAATATCTCTACTGACACTCGTGTTGTGTGGACAAAACAGTAATAGCTGCGTTTTCCTCATTTTTGTTGAGAACACTGAAATGAGTACGTTCGAACGCAACGATAGTACATCACCTGTGCATCACGTTATTTTTTTCAACTACAAAGGTTCATGCAACTCGTTAATCCAATTATAATTTCTAATCTCAATTTTAAATTCATAGTCAAAGTCAGTATCTATTCTGGGTTTAAAAAACGTGATTGAGCTGATAGTAATTTTAAATGAGTTTTAATTACAAAACCATTACAAGTCCAAACTGTGCACTGGATTGGCGCGCAATTTTGTGTCTCTACGCTCCTGGATTCCAAGGACACCCCTTTAAACATGTTCCAAAATGTCAGTAAATTCCACTTACAAAACTTCCGTGGATTCCGCGTACAAATACTTGTAACGTAAATTTTTTCGGCACGTTTGTTGTGCCGCGGATTCCGCAACAAGCAAATTTAGCTAGTTGTTCCGGATTCCGCAACTGTAAGTGGAATCCACAAAATTTAAGTGGCAACCGCAAAATTTGGAAGCGGAATCCGCAAATGTAAGCGGATTCCGCAGACTTTTTGTGAATTCAAAATTTTGCCTATTACGACCTTACATATGAACAATTAAAAGCTAGAGCTGGAATTAATATCTAAAGCAATGCGGTATTTAGAGAAAGACTTAACCCTTGTCAGCGGAATATACGAACAAATCTCAAAACATTTGTTAACTAAATCGGTGGACGTCAGCTTTTAGTATTTTGGAAACACAACACCGAATAAGTTCAATTTTTTATTTTTTGGGTTGAAAGTGTATAGAAAGACAACACTCAGCATATCGCCAATTTAGGTCAGTATTTGGGATTGCGTCAATCCCAAATACCGATTTTGGAAGCATAATATCGAATAATTTCAATACTTGTAGTCATTGACTTGAGAGTGTTTGGAAAAACATCGCACAGCATTCCGCCGAATTAGGTCAGTATTTGGTATTGCATCAGTATTTGGGATCGAAGTTCAGATCAAAGCATGTCAGTATTTGGGACCAGTAGGTCAGCATTTGGGATCGAAGTTCAGTAAGTCAGGATTTGAGATCGAAGTTGAGATCGAAGTTGAGATCGAAGTTGACAGGATTTGATATCGAAGTTGGATTGACAGGAACTGAGACCAAACGTTTCAACTGGTAGTTGATCAATGTAGTATTGAATTGATTTTTCTGGTGACCAATAAAAAAAAAAGACAGTTTTAAACGCTATACTACTCATATATACAACAATTTGCGGATTCCACTTACACATTGCGGATTCCGCTTACAGTTGTGGAATCCGCAACATCTCATTTTAACTACACAAATGTCTTATTATTTGTTTGTGGATTCCACAAACTGTTCTGGTTGCGGATTCCGCAAAATCGCCTAATTTCGGAGCAATTTTGGGCAGTACAGTTTTTTAAGTATTTGTTTTTTGGAATTCAAAATAGCGAAGAAGATCGAAAAAAAGTAGCAAAATTACCGATTCCGCGAGAAATTGGATTTTGGCCTGTTACGGAATCCGCTTATAATGAACAGAATGCATAGTTTGGCCTTGTAATGACTGTCTGATCAGACAAACTAATCACATATGGCAAAATGCAGTTGAAGTTTGATTCACAATGTCTGAAAGAAAATATTTTGTAATCTAATGCTAATGATTTCAAGAAAAAGATATCAGATATGAGAAGATAGATATTCAAATTTTCAACGAAAAAAAAACACTTTAAAACGTAAACTTTTACAAAATTGTTACATTCTCAATTGTTTGCCATAGAGATGCAAACAACTCTTGGTTCTGTAGAAAAATACAAAATTACAAAAAAGGTCATGATAACTATGACTCTACAATTCTCATTCAAAAAGTTTCTTTTATTTCGCCTATCAGCTTTTGTCTCTCAAGGTTTTTGCAGCGACAAAACGGTTGATTAATAAGAATTGAATTAATTATAATTCAGTAGTAAATCAGATCAATCATATATGGTAAATCTCCCGCATAAAATTGCTCGAACCAATGTCTAAAGTTCATGTTTAAGCTGCTAATTTTAACAAAAACTGGGAAATGATCTTTCAGTTTGGACACAATAAAGAATTCCACTTCAGTTACGAAAAATTACCAATACTCCGCCTTTCAAATTAGGAGGTTCCTAGAAAAATGTCTAGGAAAAAGGCATTTTCCCAAATTTTTCGTTAAAGCGTCTGCAGACATTTGCTGTTGCTAAAAGGTTAATATCACTTTCTTCTGTTTAACTAGCTCTCGAAAAAAATGTTGTTTTATGGCAAAATGCTTCGTCTTACTGTGGTTCCTTGAATGTTTACTAAAGGCAAAACAAGCTTGGTTATCGACGGAAATTTCCAAAGGTCTATTACATATTTTGCTTAAGTCGCTAAGTATGCCCTGTAAATGATTTCCTTCCTTTATTAATTCAACCGCAGCATTGTGTTCTGCTTCGGTTGTTAAAAATGATACACAAAGCTGGAGTCTGCCAGACCAACTAATTACCCTGAGTTCTCATTGAGATTAAAACAATATCATGAGGTACTTCTCCTATTGTCTATATTTCTAGCACAGTGTGCATCCGAATAGCTAACAAGATTCATTGCCTTTTCCCTCCCATGTATAAAAGGTAAAAATTTTGTTCCTAGCAGAAATCTCGACATTTTTTTGGCTTTCCAATGCTTTTCACCTCGCGTTTCCACAAACCAGATAAAGAACTTAAAAGGTTTGCTGCGAAGCAAACACCGGGTCTAATTGATGAAGCTAAGCCATTTAGACAACCATCAAGGCCTCGAGTTTACATTTTCTCATATTTTCTTGTTTTATACTACCTTCTAAAGGACAATTAAATTTTTTTTTCAGTTTTTGCCATGAGGTGTTGTAATCAGTTGTGCTTTGGTCATCCCAAATCTTGTAAACAATTTTCCCACAACACATGAGTCATTCTGATTTTGTTGTCTGAGTAATTAAATTTCATTCCTAAAAACATTTTCAGATGACTTATCTCGCTTGTCTCAAATTTTTCAGTGATTTTGTTTTCAAACCAGTTACAGAAATTATGTACCCAACCACTTCAGTCCATAAATATTATTTCTTCAGAAGACAAACCAAGCGTTTTTGTTCTTCATCAAACTTCTCGAACCCTACAGGTTCG